ACAGAAGCAATGGTATTTAATTTAATCCACCCAGAAGCAATGACAGAGTCAGCAGCTGATATGCAGCTAGTGCTGGTTAGAACTTGGAATTACTGTTTTGTGAAGAATGTCAACATTTTGAGATTTGTTGCTATTCTCAGGGTAGAAAGGAACTGCATATTCATCTGGAAATTTTGAAATGTCATGTTGAAATCGCAAATTCAACTCTGAATCTTGGAATTTCACCTTTTATTTCATTTAACATTAGCTTTATGTCTTTTTTAATTCATTAAATGCCAAAGCAGAATATTTCAAGTAAGCCTTTTACATTTTACTTGGGTTTGCTTTATTTTAGTATTTTAAGAGTATGGGAAGCTACTGTCTCACACTGATAGAAAACCAACTTCAAACATCATTTTACAAAGTCTCTGAATCCCATACAGTGGAAATTTTCAATAACTGACTTTTGGGAAGAGGACACTTGGGTGGAGATACGAGATTTTTGAGGAAAATACACACAAAGGGAGACAGACAGTGCACAGCAAGTTGTCTGCCTTTCCCCCCAAGCAAAAAGCAATGCTAAGAAAGAATATACCCCTGTGACAGCAGGAGGGAATCTGGCATATTGCATTTATTCATCTGCAGAGAACAGTCGCTAGATTAACAGCAAACAGCAAGAGCATTAGTCTCAGTTCAAATGCAAATGCCGAAGGTATCTACTTTATGTGAGTGATGGTAGGCTGTAAAAATTATTAAACCAGTACGAGAAGTGCATCAGTCATAGCAAAGGACACTGGTGAGCAGATGTTGCTGAGGCAAAAATGAAACTTCCAAGCGAATGCCTCCATCACAGGTATTAAATCAGTGGAAAAGCTGACAAAAGCTGTGTAAAATGAGAAAAAAGTAAGTTGTCACAGTCCCCTCTTGGGCATTGCAAGTTTCACGAGACCATGCCAATGCTGGTGGCAGCAGGCTGCAAAGAAACACCACCTCCAGCAGTTCTGAAACAATGCAGTGGCTGAGATCTGCTAATCATGAGTGGCCACCACCACCTAAATCATGTCAAACTCATAAGCTGCCTTGTTAATTTTACCTCATAATTTCCAGCTGTCTTCCTACTTTATTGCCATAGCACTTACCTAGAACAGCACACAACACTGAAGGGCTGTCTGAAGAGAAGGTCATGCTCCATATGCACCAATACTTGCATATGTGTAAATGGCGACAATGTGACTCATGGCTGGTGTGAACTAAGAGGGTTAGGGAACATGACTTGTACCATGTCAGTAAGAATAGACACAGCTACCAAAGGGACACTGCTCCCTTGTTCCTTCCAGCAAATCCACAGCAAAGGAGCTTGGATTTGGATGCTGCAGTAAATGAGAGCTACAAGAAATTTTTGCCCTCCCCAGATTGGCAGATTGCTCTCAAGAGATGAGTGGTTTTATTAAGATTTCCACCATTCCTGACCAAGCCCACAAGCTATCTCAATTGATTTCAATGGCATCCAGTCTGGATGCTGAAAATGTGCAGGTCCTTTTACAAAGGAATGTGGTTCCCTAGGCCTTTGAGAACATTCAGAAAGAGGAAGGAGAATACAGAGGATCTGAGATCTAGGAAGAAGAGACCTCCTAGCAGTCTACAGTGGCCACCCCTCAAATATACCAGGAGACATGAATCCCCTGAAAGTCCACAAAGCCACCTGGGGTACACACAGTAGTGTCTCAAAAACACTCAAACATGACCAAGAACAGCAAAAGTACCTAGACCTATTTTGGAGATATGAGAGCTTGACAAGGATGTTTGGCATCTTAAGCAGTCGAGCACAGAAACATTTGATGATAGCTGAGCTGGTCAGTGGTGGGAATTTCGTCAACTCTATTTTAGCCACAGGGCAAACTTGCAGGCATTCTCCATGTCAGAAACTGTCTTTGCCATTTTGTTTTTCCTGCTGTGGATATCTTGGTGCCAGAAATCAGTGTATCTAATGAGTCACCATGGTCTTACGCTCTCTGGCCTTTGGGAGGGGCTTCAGATTTTGACTTGGTCTGAACTGGCACAGCATCGCTGGCAAAAAGTGTGAGAGCACCCAGTCGTGTCACATGTTTCTGTGATGGTCTCATGACAACTCTGCTGCTGCTCCTACAGAAATCCCCACCACCTACCACTGAGAGGAGACAGCTCCTGAGGTTTTTGGTCAGGAATGCCCTTGAGGCACATGAAGGTTTAAATAAGGACATGCACTCCACCAGTTAATTTCCTAAGTGGGACTTGGGCATTAATGCTAGACAGGGTGATACAAAAGGCTAAAATGCACAGAGATTTCACATGCATGACTCTCACTTCCATAACTGGCCCAAGACCAGAATACAACACAGCACTATGTATGAGTAAAACTCATTGTTCTTAGTGAGCTTTAAGAACCAGTACAGATTATTTGCTGTTCCCATACCAATCCAGATTTATTTTGGATCAGCAGCGACTTCAACATGATTAGCAAGAAGCAAAAAACACAGAGCCACAGTACCATGAACCAATTCCTAGCCAAAAATGCAAAATATAAGCTATTTCTTTTTCCCCTTTCTTCGTTTATTGTTTTTTATTATTTTTTTTACCCTTTAAAAGCCTTAAATAAATTTAATGAAAAAATTTACCTCTCACAGTGATGGATCATTGTATGCATTAGAATTAAGGATCATGAACTTCTAATCCGAGATGGATTTGTTACAACATCCTTAGTATTTTGCACACAGAATGCATTCAAGAGTAAGAATGTACTTTTCTGAACACAATTAGAAACTGTTTTATATTTCAAGACCATTCCCTTGCAAGAAGAAAGATTCCTAAAGGTCTCCTTGCATTTTAAATGATATGCATTAATGCCCACTTCTCACCCTGGCTCTCAAGTCAATTTCCTTAACTGAAAGGCTTCAAACCAACCTTGAAAAGGCAAAACACAATGAAATGCAAAAGCCAGTATGTAGGGAATACGTTAAAGTTCACATTGTAGCCAACAAGTCAAATTACATTGACAATTCTCCGTATCAAGTATCTGTTCTAATATAAACTTCTTTATTTTTCTCCTTTAAATAAAGTATTTCCAAAAGATGATTTTATGAATGAGTTACTCTGAAAAAAAAAGATAATATGGTAAAAATGGACAACACTGCTTCACTAGCAAAGTATACAGGGTTCTATTATTGAGCATCTCCTGCTAAGATCACCTTCTTCACCAATTACACTACATATGTTACAAAGCAGAGATTAAGCAGAGTCTGACACCAGTATGTTAGAGAAGAGTTGTAAGTTCAAAAGCAAAATAGATAATAATGCAGATATTTAGCAAGCTGGAAGGGAATGAAAGGGAGTCTGGTTTGCAGAAAAAATGAAATGATTTTTATAGAGATACATAAGAAGTACTTCTGCATGATATTTGCAAATGCCACGTGCACACATACAAACAGATATATATATATATATATAAAATATATATACACACATGAAACCCCAAACTTGAGCTAAATTAAATTGTCCTTCCAACTTTGTAATGCAAATGAGACCAACAGGCTTGTGCTGTCTGTGGTTCGAGATGATTTGTGTTTCCATAGAGATGCTGAGTGAACTAAAGTTTTTTGATTTTTTTTATATATAAGCCTACTTGTATCTATAAAAGTCTAAATATGGATCTGCTCTACCTCAGCATTTCCTCAGTGACTCCACTGGAACCACAGCGATTACACCAGTTAAGGCTATGTGCAGATTTCTTACCTTTCACTACTTTCCAATCTAAACTCTGTACCAAGCAGCTGCACAGCCAGGAGTTTATTACTTCTCTTCCCACTCCTAGCTCCTTGGTAAGGAAGGGGAAGAAAAGATAAAAAGCAGTTTCTTAGCTGCTAGTAGATAATATTTCAAGGACTTTTGTAATGTACTGCCCTCTCTAAACTGCCTGAAGAAACGCCTTTGCCTTCAAAAGTTCCCAGTGTCAGGAAATCTCAAATTCAGGGAAAACAGTCTGTGTGCTGCTAGTGAAGGAAATGCCAAAAGGACAGACTTTTTGCTATGTGTCAGAAGCTTTTCCGCCCTTCCCTGTGAGCACCCACAATCTGATGAGTAGCTGAGATGAGCCAGGGTGGGCCTGAACAGTGATGGGTTCACTGCTTTCCACCTGGGCTTGGCTGTCCTCACCCTTTTGTGGAGCCCAAGCTCATCATACACTGTGAGGATCCCACAGAGCTAAAGCACTGTGTGTCCCCAGAGCCATGATAGGGACAGCCACCAAGAGAAGCGACAAAAGCCAGCCAGCATCAGTTTGGGCGGAGAAACCAGGCAGACCAGTTTAGCTTTCTATTTCAGTTGGCTTCCCTTTGTAAGGATCAGGCACCAGTTCAAGTGGATAGAGGCCACCTCAGTGTATCATTACTTGAGAGGAAAATCAGAGCTGAGCTCTGTGGGAACTCATTTCCATGTGGTTTCAGCAATAAGTGATTTTTGAACAGCAGCACACTAGAGGTCAACCTCTGCAATCGCTCTGAACCACAATCAAAACCAGCCTCCTGTGTACCTCCTATCTGCCTAAGAAGAGGAAGGATTTTTCTGGTGAACAGAGCTGTCCACAAGCACATGGAGTTCCCAACCTCTCATTTGATCTTGGGTATGCCCGGAAGGAAGGACCCAACAATGCCATACGGAGGTATGGCCAGTGAACTCTGATGGTAACAGCATGTCAGAGGGATGAAACCTCCCTTCTGCCCGACAGGTGATGCCACACCCGCGCCTGTGATGCCAACTCCTCCTTCAAGGCTGGCAGTGTTTCTATGTCCCCACAAAAGCCTCATTCCGAAGCAGACAAGAGTTCCCTATTTCCAGCTTTTAAGAAGCCATGCAGAGGGAGACCTGCCCAAACCTTAGCAGGTGCCCTGAACCCCACCAGGCTGCCTTTCAGGGAGGGTCCCCGGGCATGTTTAGTCCTGTGGCTCTCCACTCCTCCAGGAAGGCTGGTGAACACTCGCATCTCCTACCTTTTGCTGCAGCGCAGGTGGCTGTGGGGCCAGCATGGGGTCGGTAATGTAGGTCTTCTTCGTGCCGGGTGGCTGGTAGAGCCCAGGAGGAGCCTGGCCCATGGTGTTACTAGCAGGATACGCTGGTTCAGCCTTCCAGGAGCTCTGTGGCGTGTAGGGTGCTTCGGAGCCGTTCCTCCCCCCATACCCCCCATAGTAGGGGTCTTGGTAGCGGCTCTGTGGAGGTGCATAGCCATAGGCAGGCTCCGAGGGCCGGGCAGGTGGTGGGGCATAGCCATAGTCAGGCTGTGAAGCGCCATACTGCGGGGTGCTGGGCAGGCGGGCCGGCGGGGGAGTGTAGGACTGGCTGGGCACCAGGCTGCCATAGTGCACAGGCTGCGGGCCAGGTGGTTGGTAGTGCGGGCTGGGCTGCGCTGTCCTCACCTGGACATTGAAGGCCGGGCGGCTGGGGGTAGAGGCTGTGGCATAGGGGGCCGGCACTGGTTGTGGTTTCAGGGTGCCAACGGGAGTGACCGGGATGGGTGCTGGCTGTCCCGGGCCCTTGGCAGTGGACTTCTTGGTGGCTGTGAGAGGAGGCTGGTTGGGGATGATCATCCGCTTGTGGCCAGTGACAGGGGTGGACACAGACGGAGGGGTGGCAGTGGAGCTGCTCGAGGTGCCAGAGCCCTAGGGAGCAAGAAAAGAGAGCCACAGCATCAGCAGGAGGGCTGTCAGGTCAAGCAGTGAGGAGTTAAGTGGAAATGGAGTTTTACACTAACATCTGTGCAGTGACTCAAACTGCTTAGGGAAGCAGGAATGTACCTGAGACCACACGCTATAAAATGGTAATAGGAACCTTTCTCTTCTCTGACAGAAGAGGAATGGCACCCCAGAAGCCGAGCATAACTGCCATGCACAGCGTTTTGTTTCTCCTTGGAGTTTTCTCCTCTGCCTCCAAACAAACAAACTAAATCCCAATAAATGCAAGAAAAAGGGAGACTCACTGGAGAATAACTAGGGGAAAACCCATCCATTCCTGTGAAAATGAGAGTATTTGGAAAAAGACAGAAAATGAGATTATGGTCTCTACAGGGACATGAAAATCCTTGGCTCTCTAGAGAACTTGTAGGGTACTGCCCTCAATACCAGAGCTTCTTTAACAATGCAGGAGGTAGCTGACTGGGATGGCCTAAAACCAGATCCCAAGACTTAAGAATTAACATAGATCAAAGCAAAATATGGAGATGTCCCTGTCCCTGCTCTAAGCACTGCTGGTTGAAAGCCTGGACTGGCCTCAGAGAAGGCAAATGTTTCACATGGCTCCTTAAAGGGCAAAAAGTGGGTAAGGATTCCTGAGAGCTTCAAAAGTCAGCTCCCACCACAGCAGCTATGCAACCCTGTACCAGCACCCCAGGCACACCAGCCAGAGAAGAGGCTAACAACAAGTGCCACCACTTCCTGTGATTTGGCCACCAAATAAAGATTTAGTGCAGTGACACTGTCCTAATAGGTACTGTACATACTTCTGTGCAATGTACTTGTTTGTCTGTCTTGGCTCTTGAAATCCACCTCCAAAAACACCAGTGTGAAAGGACATCTTTGTTAAAGAGCTAACAATGTGAAACAGTTCCTGAAGAACGCTGAAGATGACCCTTAAGTCTATTCAGTAAATCAAGGAAGAACAAACTTGAATTTTTGGAATTCAGGATTAGATAAAATTTATTGCTTCTCTACTTTCCTTTATTCTGAAAGAGTACCTGAATTTCCTGCCTTCCTATCCAGAGATCTGTTAAAGTAAAGACAGTTTGACAGTATCTCTTTGTGGTTTTACTTAGTGACATAGTTATATGAGCTTATCTATCATTGAAAATTCCTGGGCTTGATCTCACCCATGAGATAGATAGCTTGATAATCTATAAGCAGCCCAAAGTCAGACCAGCTCAGCCCCCACCAGTGGTTGTCACATTTACCTAAATGACTGATCTTGCATTTGTTCCCAAGTGTTCCTGCTTTACGCAAGTAGCCTGACCTTTCCCTACGTCCCCGTCACCCTCTTGCTGCTATCGCTGGACAGGGGAGACAGAGGCTCATTGGGACACCCTCAAGCACAAGCTCTACCAGCGCCAGAGAAATCCTTTGCCTGGTCAGCAGGTGGCGGCAATAAATTGCTGCCAAACCAACCCGGGACGATGGAGACGGACTTCAACCACCCATTTCTCTGGGTCTCCAAGGGTACCAAACTCACCTTCCACCGAAGGTGGGATAAAGGCAGGCGCCTCCAACCATTCGGCAATCACCACATATGAAGAAAAGGAGGGTAAGTGCAAATCACTCAACTTCTAATCCACAGCCCACAAGCAAGTCTAGCAAAGGAATAGCGAAGCTCTGTTACCCATTTGGTAGCTCTTTCCACTAATACGTCCAAATACGTTTTTGCTGATGCACTGTTAAAGACCTTACCCCTGCAATTACAACTTTCAGGGCAAACCTTCCACGAGAGTAAACCTTCCACAAAGAGTCACTATAAATGAGAAAAACAAAACAAACCAAACCCCAGGCAAGTAAGAGCATCAATCTGTTTTGAGAGATGAAAAAGGTGTGTACACAGAGGTGGGGAAAAATAAGGCAGCAAACTTTTGCTGGAGAAAAAACGTCTCTATGTGTTAAAACCCTGACCTTGCCAACAGATCCAGTAGTACAAGGCAGTACATGGACAGACTGAAGAAATTTTGAAACTGAGAGCAAGGAGGAGCTGAAGTGTGTCTCAGTTGAACTGTAGAGACAGAGACAGGTTAAAGGTCTGTAGCCCTCCATTAATACTGCCTGATTCTTCTATTTCTGAAACACCTGGTAAGGAACAGGAAATCATCCATTCCTCTGTCCGTGCACAACTGCAGCAGCACCCATTGCTAGCAAGAAAATTTCCTTTCTGTCAGAATTATTCTCACGTATCAGCTTAGCGTTTATGCCTGGGAGTGCTAGAAACTTTCCCATTTCCTCACTCATTTCATTCCTGTAAATGACAGTAGTTTGTCCACTTACTGTAATGGGATGAAAGGTCCACAATGCGGCACTGTGTAATTATCACCAGAAAAGCATTTTTCTTTTCCATGTGAAGAGGCAGAAGGTAGATAGAAAAGCATTTTTCTTTTCCATGTGAAGAGGCAGAAGGTAGATAATGTTTTAAAGACAATGGGCTATCAGGGATGAGGGAGGAAAGTCCAAACCAAAACAACATAAATGAGCCTTATTTATCACGTATTATGTTTCTGAACACAGACCGTGGAAACAGGTGACAGACCGCTAGTAAAGCTCTTGTAATGGAAGTTACTTCACCTAACATGTTGATGCTAATCCCCTGCCTGGACTGGAACACACCTTAAGAATGAATGACAACTCCTTCCTCAAAAACCTGCCTGCATATTGACTGGCACTTTGAAAGGCTCTGAGCAGCTCCCATGTTTGACGCTACAAAGAGAATGAGCTGAGAGTCTCCTCTCCTGCACCAGTGAAGGAAGAGCAAGCTGCAGGTGCCTGGGCCAGAGACCAAGCTTTGCCATCAGCTTTACAGAAAAGGCTCAAGCTAACAAGTACTGGCTGCATTGTGGCATTCAAACCACAGGCTGCCTTGAGGAGGAGGAAGTTTGCATCAGTAGGAGTCCCCAGAGGCACCCTTTGTGACTCATTCTCAATTCCTCTGAGGGTGCTGGGCAAGAGTGTGATGAAATCTGGGCTTTAGGGGGAGGAAGACCGTGCAAGGCTAGTTAACATGGTGTAGCAGAGAAATGGGACAGGTTAAAGGGAATTTGACACTACTAGAGCACTTATGATTTATGGGGACACAAACTGGCTGCAGCTCCTGACCAAGGGCACAGGTGAAGTATCACCATAAATCCACTGCCCTGTTGCCTGCAAGAGAGAAGGATGGCCACAGTCCAGCCTTCTGTAGGTCTAGCCATGTACTCAAGTATCACCCCAGGCTTAAACCTCTAGATTATTAATGGATTAAGGAAAGACTTTTATAAATCCACATGAGCTATGGACAAGATTCCTCCTCTGAGGACAAGCATGTGCAGAAGGTTGAGAAAAGGGTACTTAGATACCACAGGGAAGAGTGATTTCAACAGATGTCTGGAAGGCAGGATAGGAGGGACAGTTGAGGCTACAAAGATGTCTGGTAGATAGCGAGGGAGTAATGAAGAGAAAGCTGGGAAGGGCTACCTGTATCACTGTGTGCAGTCCTAGCAAAAGAGATGACTGTCACAGATGTTTCATCCAAATGAGTCCACAGAACCTGTACTAGCGTAATGAAGTAGACGCATCGAAAAGCACTTCAAAGTGATAGCCCAGAAGTATGAAAACAAGTAGAAATAGGAGAAAGAAAGAAGAGAAAAAGAGTGGATTCATAGGAGTACAGGCATCCCTTACTCCAGCACCTCCTGGACAGCTCATTTCAAAACTTGTGTTGCTTTTGCAAGTGACTATTGCAGCCAAACATGCTCTCTGACACACTCTAAGGGCTGTTTTCAGAGGAAGACAGGCTTTCCTCTGCTCACCATGCACTACATGAAACTGTCTGACACACTTCACAAGTGTAAATTAGAACCATGCTACTTACCATCAACCCCTTCTTGCAAATTCATATTTGCAAAGAGAGTAAACTAGAAACCCCAGGTGCTGATAATGTAGAGTTGTTAAGAGAAACTAGAGTAGGAAGGAGTTAAATTCAGAACCTGATCTACCACAAACATTGTAATATAATTTTGTTGTTTTTTTTTTTTTTTTTAGGGGAAAGCACAAGAGCCTTGTTTAAACACTGATGGAAGTACCTAAATGTACTGCCTCTTCTACAAATGAATTACTCAGTAGTTCAAATAAAGGTGAACTAATACTGACAAAACCAAGCAAAACTCAATCAATGTGGGAGTTAAAAAAAACCCAAAAGAATTCTCCTAAAAAAAGTTACCATGTGCAGCCATCAGGGGAATCATTTTACTTGGTAACTCCTGCCCTGCCTTCTTACTTGCACTGGAAGATTATAAACATTGGCATGAGCTTCTTGTACAAGAAGTCCAGGGTTTTGTGATAAACCTGTGCTATCCTAGGGATCTGACTGTCAAAGCTGAGTGTCTGGATTCAAAGTTACCTTGGGTGGGAAAACCCAAAATCCTGACTGTGTGATTCTGCACTCTGTAGAAATGATTTGTAAGATCTTAATTTAAGTTCAGTGTATACAAGTAAAAAGTCATCACATACATACTATGTTCTTCTACAGAAATTAGCCTACAATTTTAGTTGTTGGCTGATATTCAAGGATCACCTACTCCAAGTTCAGGAGTGTTGCGTCCCAACTGGAAGGAAGGGCCAGCAGGAGGGCCAGGAGACCTCCTTGGATGGATAAGGAGCTGCTGAGGAAAATTCAAAGGAAAAAAGAGGTATATAAAAGGTGGAAGCAAGGACAGGCGCCCTGGGAAGAACACAGGGATGTTGTCCAGGAAGCTAGGGACCAGGTTAGGAAAGCTAAGGCCCAGCTAGAATTAAAATTGGCTAGGGATGTTAAGGGTAACAGGAAAGGTTTTATAGGTACATAGTGAATAAAAGGCAAACTAGGGACAATGTAGGCCCCCTCTGGAAGCTATCATGAGAACTCGCTACCCTGGATTTGAAGAAGGCTGAGGATCTCAATGACTTCTTTGCCTTGGTCTTTACTGGCAAAGGCTCTGACCACACCACCCAAGTCTTGGAAGGTAGATGCAGGGACTGTGAGAATGATGATCCTAGGCCCACTGTAAAAGAGGATCTGGTTCAAGACCATCTTAAGAACCTGAACGTACACAAGTCCATGGGACCCAATGAAATTCATCCTCATGTCCTGAAAGAGCTGGCAAATGAAATTGCTAAGACACTGTCCATCATATTTGAAAAACCATCGCAGTCAGGTGAAGTTCCTAAAGACTGGGAAAAGGGAAATATAACCCCCATTTTCAAGAAGGGGAAAATGGATGACCCAGGGAATTGCAGACCAGTCAGTCTCACCTCTGTGCCTGGCAAAATCTTGGAGAAGATTCTCCTGGAAGGCATGCTAAGGCACATGAGAAACAACATGGGGCTTGGTGACAGCCAGCATGGCTTCACTAAGGGGAAATCCTGCCTGATCAATTTGGTGGCCTTCTATGATGGGGCTACAGAACTGATGGACAGGGGTAGAGCAGTTGACTTCATCTACCTGGACTTGTGCAAAGCGTTCAACACTGTCCCACACAACATCCTTGTCTCTAAAGTGGAGAGACATCAATTTGATATTTGGACCACTCGGTGGATAAAGAACTGGCTGGATGGCCGCACGCAAAGAGTTGTGGTCAATGGCTCAATGTCCAGCTGGAGACCAGGAACGAGTGCTGTCCCTCAGGGATTGGTGTTGGGACCCGTCTTGTTTAACATCTTTGTCGTTGACATGAACAGTGGGATTGAATGCGCCCTCAGAAAGTTTGATGATGACACCAAGCTGTGTGGTTCGGTTGATAGGCTGGAAGGAAAGGATATCATCCAGAGGGACCCTGACATGCTTGTGAGGTGGGCTGATGCCAACCTTATGAAATTTAAGCATACCAAGCGCAAGGTCCTACACCTGGGTCGGACCAATCCCAGGCACAGCTACAGGCTGGGCAGAGAAGGGATTCAGATCAGCCCTGCGGAGAAGGACTTGGGGGTGTTGGTTGATGAGAAAATGAACACGAGGTAGCTGTAGTGTGCGCTTGCAGCCCAGAAAGCCAACCGTATCCTGGGCTGCATCAAAAGGAGCGTGACCAGCAGGTCGAAGGAGGTGATCCTGCCCCTCTACTCTGCTCTCATGAGACCTCACTTGGAGTATTGTGTGCAGTTCTGGTGTCCTCAACATAAAAAGGACATGGAACTGTTGGAACAAGTCCAGAGGAGGGCTATGTGGATGATCAGGGGACTGGAGCACCTCCCATATGAGGACAGGCTGAGAAAGTTGGGGCTGTTCAACCTGGAGAAGAGAAGGCTGCGTGGAGATCACATAGCAGCCTTCCAGTATCTGAAGGGGGGCTATAGGGATGCTGGGGAGGGATCCTTTATTAGAGACTGTAGTGATAGGACAAAGGGTAATGGGTTAAAACTTAAACAGGGGAAGTTTAGATTGGATATAAGGAAGAAGTTCTTTACTGTTAGGGTGGGGAGGCACTGGAATGGGTTGCCCAGGAAAGTTGTGAATGCTCCATCCCCAGCAGTGTTCAAGGCCAGGTTGCAGAGAGCCTTGGGTGATATGGTTTAGAGCGAGGTGTCCCTGCCCATGGCAGGGGGGTTGGAACTTGATGATCTTAAGGTCCTTTCCAACCCTAACTATTCTAAGATTCTACCTTTTGTCAGGGTTAAGTCTTAAGGAAAAAAAGTTCACAATAACTATAATCTACAGCATAAGCATGATTCTATAAGATCAGCTGGAACTCTTATGAAAATTACTTCATTCCCCTTTTATTCTGTACATTTGTAGAGTATTTTCTATAGAATCCCTTCAGTTACTCAGTTTCACAGACTGGATCAAAAATGCCAACATGAAGTTTATCACACACTCAATTCTCCAGGCATTTTTCATAAAGGTACAGCTGAATAGCTTTAGCCCTTTAGCTGTCAAATTACCACATATAAAGACACATTACTCCAACTCAGTGGTTTTCAACCTTTATGCTCGGCAGCCCCCAACTGTTTTTCAGGAGAGACACTCTTTTACAGAGAGTGTTAATCTACTGACAATAAACACAGGTTTTTAAAGTTACCTTTCACTGAATTTTTTCTTTGTTACCTTAGGAGTGATCATGGACTGTCAGGATTTGCAGAGCACAGGCTGAGAGCCATGGCTCTATCTATGGCTGCCTTTTTCAAGCATTTCAGTCACTATTTACCTCAGGATAGGAGTGAAACAATCCTTCTTCCTCAGAAGGCAGAAAGCTAGCAACTACTGGCACACAGGAATGCAGGATGCAGCATTCTTAGGGGGCTGCCACTTCACAGTGCCAGTGCAGCATCTCCCTTCATAACTTGGCCGCTCTTCTTCACGGTCCACCGACACAAGCCTGACTGAAACACAGGGCCAGCTCAGACATGTGCCAGCTGAAAACTTTTAAGTATCATTCGGCGGTGGTGGTGGTTGGAAGCCTGGGTGGGAAAGGCTCTGAAGGGTGGAAAATTAGCTTGGCTTCTCCTAACACAGTGAATTGGCATTTACCTTGGCTAGCTGGAGGTGCTTAAAGCTCTCTGTGAAATACTTCTCTACAGGGTCATTTATTCCATTCTAATACTGATACCTAAAACAGGGAAGATGAATCATCCACTGGAGGCATCTAGTTCACTCCACTGACTAATAGAAGCATAAAAACAGCCAAGAGAAGTCACTGAATATTTAGACAGCACAAGTTAGTGGTGTCAAATTCCACAATAAGTAGGTAATTTTGATGTGACTGTAAGAAGCACAGGTATCTTTTCCCTGCATTAAGTGCACTGCCACTCAAGCTCAGCTAGTGATGTGCAACAAGGAGATTCCTGAGTGCCAGTAGCTCAGATTATCAGTCAGGACCCTGCCACACCATGCCGCTGACGCAAGACCCAGGAGCTAGGCTGCAAATGCACTTCTCATGTATGAAGGGGGGCTGACATGGGTGGGCTGCCCTTCCCCACCTCCTTTTCTGCCTCTGTGCTGAACAGTGACTCCTGCTGGAACTGGAGCTGCCGCCTTGCCAGGAGTAGCAGCTGGGCTGATCCTCCCTGCCTGAGATCCCAGCTTCCCCTCAATTTGGGAAGGATAACCTCAGAGAAGAATCAAACACTGTGCTTTGAAACTTGGGCCTTTAGGTATCTGCAAATATAAACAGGCATTTTACGGAGTTTCCTGATGCGCAGACACATCAAACTCCTACTGACTTCAAATTCTGTATTTGAACAAGCTGCCTTGCTAGTGATAATGTATGGCCTTCCCCTGAACATATCCTCTTTTTCAGTCTGAATTAACATCTAGGTGAAAAGAAGAAATCTGGACTTTCGTTTGGGACTTGCAGACATCTGGAGTCCTTGCAGAGCTCCAGCTGGGTTGCTGAATGTCCAGAGATTCTGGACAGATGCACTTCTCTGTTCAGCATACCTGATGCATTTTCAATATTCAGGACTTTCTGGCCTTTATTATAATGTCCAGATAGTAGGCCAAACACACTGAGGACACGTCAGTCCACTTTGCACTTGATGCTACACAGGGCATACAGCTCAGTTACAAGCACAGATTTCTTTAGGTGTCAAAATGCCCTTAGAAGCTGGTCCAAAATGTTGAAGTCAGCTCCAAAGCCTTAAAACCCTCAGCTAAAACATGATTATAATCAGATGAAGCTTTTCTTTATAGTTTCATAATTTTATCTTTTCTAGCTTACAGCTGACAAATATGTGTCACAGAGGCACGGGCTATGCATGGATCAGCAGTCATACTCATACTTCCCAGACATGTTTATATGGCATTCAGCTTGCTGGCCTGATCACCAGAAGCTATCAAGGTATTCAAACGGATTGCTCCTAAGCATTATACCAAAAGAAGAGAAGAAATCTAATAAAGTGTTCATCTCTGGTTCTCAGATGAAGAGAATACCTTACAGATGCCATAAAGCATTACAAGAACACAACTGCTTCTGAGCTTTGATCTTTTTTTCAGCTGCTACCGCAGGTGGAAAAGGAGTCAACAGAGTTGTTAATGTTTCTGTTCACAACCTCTTCTGTACTCCTTGTATTGGCCCAGCTTGAAACACAAGGGAGAAGGTGGTGCACAGAAGAAAAGATGATAAAAACTTGACCTCCAATATTTTCTTGGGGAAAACTTTTCCTTTCAGAAGTGATGTGTGCAGTTATAGACATACACCTTGCTTCAGCATTCAGTATGGGTGTCAAGTGTTTTAGGCAGTCTGGGTTTCCAATTTCCAACACTCCATTAATTCCAAAGAGCCTGAACACATCTGAAAAGTTTGGTCTCCAAAACACAACAATGTTATGCCAGGGAAGAATTTTGCTTTTCCTTTTCAGTTTTATATTTAATTTTTTGTTTACCCCAATACTATCACTACGATGACCACTATGAGCTTTTTTATGCGTTTTTCCCTTTCTGTTGAGTGATCATTGTGTTTATGAGGAGGATTATGTGAGAAACCGGTTTTAAAAGATGTGCAAACAATTTACCTGAATATTTCTAGCTCTGTTGGACAGTTAAAGGCCACTGTTTTAGCTGAATTCATTCAAAGGGCTAGTTATGATTAAAATTCTCCTATTTAGAGCAATTCCACTTGACCAGTTCAAATGCCATAGCAACTTCATCTACAAGAATATCGGATATCAGCACAGAAATAGCTGTCAAAAATTCCAGAAGATGCCAGTCATGAGAAGTTAAATGTTTTCTGACATTTAATCCCAATTCATCTTGGAATATTTCTGTAATTTCCCACTCTCATCACTAAACAAATCTGCACCAGTCTGGACCTCAGGAACATGCAATGGCAGCCCCTTGCACTAGCTGAATCAGTGGCATATCAACTCTAGCAATAAAGTACGTGAGGAGCTGTGCACCACAGCCCTTTGGTTACATCAAAACGCAGAACTACTGAATACGGTCCTGGAACAGAAGACCACAAAAAGTGTAGAGCGGAACCATGTGAAGACAAGTCACTATGTGCATGGAGCAGTGAAACTGAGCTCCTTAATGACCACATTCTCTAAGGCTTAGCAACACAGGAATGCCCAAAGCATTTCCATTCTGCAAACTGGGCCCTTCTAACAGGCTGAACAAGTCTCCTTGCTTAATTTAGGCAAAATGTTGTCCTGTCTGACAATGGGGAAGCCCCCACTACACCTATAAATAAGAACATTGGGTAAGCCAAGTATTTTTATGACTTTTGCTATTACTAAGCTAGTGAAGCTTAAAGTATCATAATTACACTGTCCACAGACTTAAAAACATTTTTTTCTTCCTTTTATAAATTGCTATTTGTAATGAAAAAGAAGCTCACATGCATAATAAATATGGGCAGGTTAGAGGGTTATGTAGACTGTGCCACTATCCATGCATGTGCATCATGATTATAAAAAAAAATGGATTTAAAAGGTATAAAGCAAGATGTGTGAGGGGAAGGGATGTGCACCTGTGAGTGACAGGGCAAAGAACATGTATTCATGAAGTCTTCTGGATAAGTCTTTTGCTACCTACAAGGAAAAGTTATCATTTTCTATTGTGTGTTGAACAACGGATTTAAAGAACAGTACAAAAACACTATAAAAACTTCTCATTTCCTACCAAATTGCAAAGGAGTTTTAGAGTGTTTATAGAGTATGCAAGCTTTCTTCCTTTATTAATTCTAGAGAACACAGAAAGAGTGTGCATATGCACAAATAAAATAATATGAAATACATATGCACTCAGACACTACTTGGTTTACTTTGTGTTACTTGTAATTTGTTTACGATTCCAATTATTTGCTGCATTGCTTGCATTTATAACCTATTTATCTTTCCAAATTCCAAAACTCTATTAAACCAGATTTAAAAAATTATTCTTCCAGAGAGCATAAACATTTTCAAATGTTAGTATTTTCTTTATTTCCTGTGAAAGCCATATGTTTTTATTCTTCTTTTCCCCACGTTTTAAAGCTTGTGCAAATAGTCATACAGAAGAGCAGAAGCATCAGCGAACAATTCTGTGTTCATACAACATCTGCTTTCTTATGGTTCACTTGAGGTCCAGAACCCACCGTCATCTGCCAATATTTTTAGTGGGCTCCAAAATGATTCAAGTTAGTAACTTGAGTGGTTAGCAGCAGAGAAAAACTATACAGCCTCACCGAAAAAAATTACCTCTCAACCAGAAAAACCCATAAAAGACAGGCAGATGTGACAGAGAGGTTATTTTCCTATTAGGTCCAATGTACACCTTTCCAAAAGGCTGACAAGCTCCAACAACAGGTCAAATTTAACTGTCTTCCCAGATGGCTCCTTCTGGGAAACGGAGTGGAACATTCCCTCATTTACCCGTCTGCCTGGGTTATCACTGCTGACTGAAATACCTTAGTCTTTCCACAATATTGCAGACTCCAAGTATGATGTTGAGAAATCTGATTAGAAAAGTTTTCTTTCACCTGCTGTGGCTTTTAAATATTATTATATAGGTATATAAACACATACACAAAGATACATAGAACATACCCACTGCGACATGTCTTGTCAAAACACCAGGGCAGTACTGTAACAAGCCATGAAAGTGAAAGAATGCACATTAATTTATAGCACAAGAAAAAATGTCATCTGTACCACAGAAATGCTCAAGTATAAAACAATATAGAAAGAGTATTTTTAAATTAAAGTATTAATTCAGAATAATAAGCTTCACCACTATTTTCCTCTCTTCATAGAGAACATACCATTATATTAAATGTATGGTTAATAAAGTATTTACTCAAAAGACACATTGATAAAAATTTATAATCATAACAGTATTGCTCTAAAAAGCCTGTGTAAAGCAATGCCAAATGCACGGCCTCCCCAGGCTTGTTCTGTTGCAAATGGCATCATAAATTAATCCAGTTTTCATAAATATGCCTTGAGGAAACAAACCCACAAATAGCCATTTTAAGTTTAAATATAAAAACCACAAAAAAAACCCCAAAGAACAAAAATATCTTCTCTTCATTCTTAACCAGAACACAAAACTGTGTTTTTTACAACTGATATTGATGAATAGGTCATCATGTATTACCTAATGAGTCTGATTACCTTATGATTTATAATTTTCCTCACTTATGCTGTTCTTAGACCAAACATCCACCTGATTAGGTTGAGGTCATCACAGTCACAGAATATGCTTTAATACTTCTTGCTGCCTGAATTACATTTTTTAAGAAGTGCCTTATATCAAGCCAGATTCTGATCTCAGTGATACTGGTGCCAGCTTCATCACATCTGTTACCTCCAGCAGATTTACTCCAAACAACTCTAGCTATTGCAGATCAGGACTTGGCCTATGACTGTCTCTGAATTTGGAGGGTTTTTCTCCCCACTGGGAATATAGCAGAGGGTTTCTACGCAAACTAACAAATCCTGCAGATCTAACCTGCTCCAGGCAATAATCATTTGCTTTGCAAAAAACTCAACATCTAAGATCTTGGCAATTCACACTGCTGCAACATGAACAAAAGCAAATGAAATTTATAATCGAGGCTAAACATAACCTGCATTGGACTAAACCTTAGCACCTCGAGGCACTCAGCTCGGCACAAAACAGCAACAGCGTTGACCAGTCCAGCTCTTAAGCCAGCCATGCACCTTGACCTGTGCACCCGTCCACAAACACTTTTGCATTAGAAATTAAAAACAAGCATGCTAATTCAAAACAAACAGACGTATCTCCCTCTCTCCTCCCTTCCTTGTGGTGGATGTATAAATGCATATGATGGCTACTGGGATTTATAGCCTAACTGATTTTGACATTTTTAACTTCAGAATTTGAAACAGTGACTTTCTAACCCTGGGGCAGGAGTGCTAAATGCTAAAAACCCTTGGACTAGGGAGTATTAATTTAGCCCTTCTGAGCAGCTTGGATTCAACAACATTCTAACAAGAGCTCAGCGCTCTCCAAAACTCAGCAGTGGACGCCCAAAAAACTGCAAGGAATTTTGGATCCAAAACAGAGTGTTGTGGCTTTCATTCTTGTCTGTCACAGGTCAAATTAAGTTTCAGACCTGAACTTGAGGTCTGGGTGGGGAGAACTTGAGGGGAGTGGGGAGAATTCAGGTCTGGGTCTGAATTTATGGCAGGATTAAATCGTATTTCATTTGCAGCCTGCAATGCAGCTTCTTTTTTTTTTTTTTTCTTTCCCCTTGTGGTTCGTGATGTATTCGTATTTTAAGAAAAAACAAACATGCACAGAGCAAACGTTCTGGCATCACAAGTCATCAATAAATCTCTTTTCCACAACAACCCACAAGAATTCACTGCAGGACCCAATTGTTAAAACACAAAGCAGTGACATTCTATAAGCTTTCAGAAGTATCATTCTAGCCCTTGTGGACTTGCTGAATTCTCTAAATGAGTCACTGGCCTCTCAACGGAATTATCTAAATTTAGGTTAAGCCAGGTTAATTCCCTTTCCCCCTTTAATTTAGAAGTCCAGCTGCAGCACATGGCTTTCCAGCAAAAAGATCTAAATGCAGAGCCCATTCACCCCAAACAGGAAATCTCACGGGACCCAAACCTCACTTTTTCCTAAAAGCTAGAGATAAACCGCACTAATGGGAAAAAAATGTGGTTTCCAAAGCCTCATGGGCCATGTGATATAAAAATCAATATTCATCTTACATGGTACAAATCACACTCTGCTGAAGGCCAAAGGACCATAGTTGAAGCTACTACAGCTGGGATAGGAGAAAGGGCAGCTGCAAAAAATGGGAGACGAGGAGAGCAGACATTTTAACTAGAAGAGGGACAAGGGAGATGGCAAAACAACCCTTCTAACCAAAGCAAGCAAGCAGACATGACATTTGGGGTTGGGCTGAGGGCTTCCACTCGAGAGGACATCCCTTCTGCCCCTCATGCTCTCCTT